GGCCCAGACGAAGAGCGAGCCCAGGCCGCCGCGTCCCTGCGGGGAGGGGAGCAGGCAGGGGCTGGTGAGAGCTGGAGGGGTCGGCACAGAAGCAGGGGTGGTAACAGGGGGCTAATATGACACAGGACTCCTCCCAACTCACGTGGGGACCCCCGATACTGACATGCCTCCGTCCTGGCTCCAGCTGACCGTGTTTCCATGGAAACCCAATGTTACGGTGCAGCACAGGGGGGCTATTTTGGAGGCTGATGGGAGTAAACGGGAAGGGCGGGGCTGGTACCCACATTTGTTCGTACTGGATCAACGCCAGGCTCCGGCTAGCTTCACCGTTAGCAACAGGCTGGCTCCGACGCTTCAGTAGAAGGCAAAAAATAGCCGGCAGGTACCAAGCACCCAGAGCTGGGTCATTCCCGGGGGGCAGAATTCCTCCCCGAACTGGCCCATGACGCCTTGCTGGGAGCTGCCTCCGTGGGGGGCGGGGGCCAAGGTCTGTCCCACGACACACACCCCTTCCTGCCAGAGGCACCGAGCCAGCCACTTACATTCGCAATCCCCCTGTAGAAAGCTTCCTGGGCCAAGATCCCGGGGCCGTCCACTGTTTTCCCGTCGTCCTCCGGCCCCCAGCTAGCGCTGTAGATGTGGATGTGCTGGGGGTGGAAGCTCAGGGACTGAGCCTCCACAATGTCCGTGATGGGGCCGTCCAGCATCCTCACACCTGTGGGGCCAGGGAAGGGAGGGCGGCGAGAGCAGAGGGCTCAGCCAGCCAGAGACCCCCCTCCCACTCCAGCTCAGGCCGGCGTCTCCAGCGGGACGCATAAAACACTCCTCAGATCCTGTCCCCTTTTGCCCCTTCTCTACTTACGCTACATCGATGACATCTTTATGATGTGGACCCATGGCCAAGAAACACTGGAGACATTCCACAGAGATTTCAACAACCTACACCCCACCATTAACCTCAGCCTGGACCATTCCACACAAGAGATCCATTTCCTGGACACCACAGTACAAATTAACAATGGAAAATTAGACACCACCCTCTATAGAAAACCCACTGACTCATACAGTTACCTACATGCTTCCAGCTCCCATCCAGCACACACCATACGATCCATCATCTATAGCCAAGCCCTTCGATCGTCTATAGCCAAGCCCTTAGATACAATCGCATCTGCTCTAATCCCACTGACAGAGACCAGAAACTTCAAGATCTCTACCAAGCATTTTTAAACCTCAATTACCCACCCAGAGAAATAAAAGAACAAATTGAAAGAGCCAGACGAATACCCAGAAACCATCTACTTCAAGACAGACCTAGGAAAACCAACAATAGAACACCACTTGTCATCACCCGTAGCCCCCAACTTAAACCTGTCCAACGCATTATCAATAAACTAAAACCTATACTGGAACAGGATACTACACTCCGAGAGGCTCTGGGAGACAGACCCATAGTCTCCTATAGACAACCACCTAACTTCAGGATGATTCTTACCAACAACCACAGGACATATCACGCTAATACCAACCCTGGAACTTTCCCTTGCAACAAACCCCGGTGCCAGCTTTGTCCACATATTTATTCTGCTGACACCATTATTGGACCTAACCATGCTAGTTACAAGATCAAGAACACACATTCCTGTTCATCCAGAAGTATAATTTATGCCACCATGTGCCTAAAGTGTCTGTCTGCTATGTACATTGGACAAACGTCTCAGACACTT